ACAAGTCAATAGAAAAAAATTAATGCAACAAAGAGCTGATTCTTTGAGAGATGAATACAATTGACAAACCTTTGGCTAGACTCACTAAGGAAAAAAGAGAAATAACATGAATAAAAAAAATAAGAGATGAAAGAGGAGTGGTTTCGGTCAAGATGACAGACTAGGTAAAAGTGGGATTGGACTCCTCTCAGGACCACAATAAAATTACAACCAAATTATAAAGTAATCAACACGGAGTATCACCTGAAGTTCTGCTGATTATAACAGAGACATCTGATGCTATAAAGAAGGAGCCACATCAAAATCAGTAGGAGAGACAAAGTTGCAAATTGGGTTGAGCTCACATCCATGTATGATGATGGAGCAACAGGAGGGAGAATTCAGCTGCAGAGGCCTCCCTGAAAAAGAGAGGGATCTTAGCTCAATACAGGGGTGCCTTGGCCCAGGATGCCAGCCCAGGGAAAGGGGAGTTCCCAAAAAATCTGACTGTAAAAATCTGTGGGGATTCTGGTCATCCGGGTGAGATGGAAGGAGGCTGAAATCCTAGATGCCCCTTTAAAGGGCCCACAGGCTGTCTTGCTGGTGGACACACACTTTGGGCACCACTGAAGTGATGGAGGTTCACACAAGTACATACAGAGAAAGACAGCATTATATGGCACCAGAATGAGGGCTGGATGAACAGCCGCATTGTGCCTTATTCGGGGCCCACCTATGGGACAGCCAACAGGTGGACACCGCTTGCTTGTACTGAACCCTCCCCCACATGGACAATTTTGAAGCTACATTGGCCTGGGGAGAACAGCTCATCCTACCCAAAACACATATTGCCCGGGGCGGCTCCACAGTGGCTGCCCCAACTCTGCCCCTTTCCAGGGGGTAACATTTGGTGCAGGCTTCAGAGCTGTGGGCAAATTTCAGGAAAATCAGTTGTGAGCAGATCACTGCTGCATGCATGAGTTGCAATATCACTTAGGGGGATCACAGAGATCCATGGGACCACCCCAGATGGCAGCTGGTCTCACTGTGAATATGACTTCTGTGGGAATGTGCAGACATGGAAATTGTAGTAACACAGAGATAATATTGGCCTCATAGCCCTTGCTTCACTGAGAGCCCGCCCCATCCAAACCACAAAGTACTCGAAGCCAGTTGACAAGCAGACTCTTCTGCCCTGTCCCTTTCCAAGATTTGGCATTCTGGACAGGCAACAGACCTGTTAGTGCAGTGTACAAATTTCGGGGAAAACAGTGGTGGGCAGATCACCACTGCCAGCAAGAGACACAATATTGTTTGGGCGGACTGTAGGGGTTTGTGGTCCATCTCAGATGGAAGTGGGTCTTTCAGTATCTGCGACTTTAGTGGGAGGCCACAGTCTCAGAACTGGCAGCAAATCTGGTGCTATAATCTGCCATGTCTCACTGAGACGCCACCATACCTCACACACAAATTATCTGTGTCAAGCCTGTTCTCAGGCAACCCAGTCCCATCTTGTGCTTTCCTTGAGACACAAATTCAACAGTAACTAACAGCATTCAGATCATGCGGCCCACACAAAGTTCATGCATCCCAGGAGAAACTTTTGGTGGTGGACAAAAAAACCCTGCCCACGATCTTCAGTAATTTTTTAATGGGTCTCCCATGTTTGTAGGCTCAAGGAGGACAGCAACTGGCCTTGCTGTGAACTGAGACTTTTATAGGAAACCACAAAAACATGAAAACAACCTAAGCCTTTCTTGATAGATGATTGAATAAAGAAGATATGGTACATATATACAATGAAATATTACTCAACCATAAGAAGCGATGAAATATTGCCATTTGCAACAACACGGATAGACCATGAGATAATCATGTTAAGTGAAATAAGTCAGACAGAAGTTGAGAACCATATAATTTCACTCATATGTGAGATATGAAATAAAAGTAACAGACAAGAGAAACAAATGGGGAATCAAGGATATGAACAGCGGATTAGTGGTTACTAGAGGGAAGGGAAGAGGGGGGAGTTAAATAGATAGAGGCACGGGGGGTCAAATATTTGGTGGCAGAAGGAAATTTAACTCCGGATGGTGATCATGCAATGTAATATACATATGATATATTATTGAATTGTATATTTGAAACCTATTTGAGTTTATTAACCAATGTCACCTCAATAATTTTAATAAAATAAATAAAATAATAAAATAAATGAATTGTGGAGCCTGAGAAGATTCATTTGATATGAACCACAAGAAGGAATTTTTCTGCTCATATGGACTTCCCACAGTCAACCAAGGGCCCGATTTTATGAATAATAAGAGTCTAGCAGCCATTTGCTCACACTGGCTCCTTACCCACTTTGTACACTGGGAGGAACCTCAGACTGAACTCCCAGCTTCCTGCACTATGCTCGCTTGTTTCCACTACAGGAAAGCTCTGGTTTCCTTTTCTACCACAGGACTGAGACCTGTTCCATCCAATCAGAACTACATGAATTTATTCTCATTTACATCTATACCAACCAGTTGGAACCACACAATTTGGAAACCTCATTTGCATAAAATTGGGAACTTGAATGGGAACTTTATAAAAGATGGCCTTCCCTTTGCATCAGGGGAGCACAATTTAGGTTGCTACTTGAATCTGTGTCTCCTGGACTGAAGCTCCTTTTGTTCAATAAATGCTTTGTATTCTTTATTACAATTTAAGATTAATTTTAGTTTATGGTATTCTAGTTCACACCTGAAGAAGGGCAGAATTTGCCACCCCAAAAGATGCCTCCATGGCATAAGCATTATTTTAGGCTGATTGTTTTTGAGAAATAGCAGACATAGGAAAAGCTCTGGAATCAGAGTAGACAGTTACCCTTTTGTAAGAGAAATTTACATTTATAAGAGAAATCTTTATCTGCAAGGGTGTCTGTCTCTCTGCACCAAGAGAAGGATAATTAAATTTCTATAGAATCATCAATGTAGAGGGCAAATGACTAAACTCTGCATAACAACCATACATTCATTTACCATGCTTTTCCTGGTAACCTCCCATAACTGGCCTCCCTCCACCCTAAAAACGTTTTTTTTCTTTAGGTGGAGATGATATTTAAGGTGATGGCTTCTGCCATTTTGGAGACTTACTCAGATTCTCTGGGTCTCTCCCATGTATACAGGAGGTATACATATTATTAAACTTCTTTTTGTTTTTCTCCTGTTAAAATGTCTTTTATTATGGGGGGGTAGAGCACAACCAAGAATCTAGAAGGGTAAAGGAAAAATTATTTTTCCTCCCCTACACACCAAAGTTTTAGCTATTTTTCCTCTCTTAGAAACATATATGATCAGTAACAATGACAGTCAAAGTTGTAGTTATGCTGCCCGTGGGCTTGCTTCTTCATTATTTTAGTATTTTCCATCATAAAATAGTGCTGTACAGTAAATCCTCACTTAACATCATTGATAAGTCTTGGAAAGTGTGACTTTAAGTGAAATAACATAAGGAAAACAATTTTACCAAAGGCTAATTGTATAAACAAGAGTTAAGTTCCCACAGCATATTAATAACACAAACATCACCAAACTTCTAAAGACCCAAACACATCTAATATTAAACATTTAAATAAATATGAGTTATGCATACATTTTTTAAAAATTAATATAAATGAATATTATTTCCTGGCCCACTTTTTCCAGTTCAGATGCAGGTGGCTGGAGCTTATTCCAGCAGCTTAGAGTGTAAGGCAGAAACCCACTCTGAACAGGATGCCTTTCCATTGCAGGACACACTCACACACACATACCCTCACTCACTAAGACTGGGGCAATTTATACACACCAATTCACCTAACGTGCACATCTTTGGGATGTGGGAGGAAACCGGACTACCTGGAGAAAACCCATGTAGACATGGGGAGAATGTGCAAACTCCACACAGACAGCAAATAGGGATGGGAAACAATTTTTTTACATTAATGTTATAATGAAAAGATGCATTTCAATGATTTGCTGTATATCGGTGCTTTTCTAATTGAATGTGCAAATGAGTCACCTGGAGACATTATTAAATGCAGTTTGCTAATTGAGTCAGACTGGGTTGGGGTCTGAGATTCTGCATTTATAATAGACTCCCAGCTAATGCCCACTCTATAGGTGAGTGAACCAAAGTAGAACGACTCTGAATAATATTAAACAGAAATTGGTCCAGATTAAACCTTATCTCTTGATTGTAATCTGTAGTTCATTCATTATTTCCTAAATTTTAAAGCAACTGTCTAGCCCTAGGTTGCCACATTCTCTCTTGGAAGTCAATGGTCAATTAGTATGCAGGTTGGATATACGTTTTAAATTCTTCCAGCTTTCAGAGGCTTGTGACTTTTTGTCTCTGAACTGAAAAAAAAAAATCACACCATCAAAAAGTAGGAAATGTTGCCTGCCAACTAGTATAGGAAACTCTCAAACTTTTATTGTGTAGTTTGTGACATCTGAATGTTTCATATATGATCTCTACTCATTTCATTATTTTCGGCCTTTTAGGCACTACATTCTTCCCGCTTCTTTCGTTAAATGTGAAGCACATTTTTAGACTATGAATGTATTTAAAATTTCTTGCTTCTCATTAATCTTCTCCATAGGTTACTTTTAAAGCTAAGCAACCTTATTCGTGGTGAATACCTTCATCTCAAGTGCAATTTCCTAAAAATTAAACTCTTGTCCTCCAAGATTTGACAATATCTCTATGGCTTAGTGCAAGTTGCAAAATTACATTGTTTTATTAATACATCACTGAATAGAATCTGACCCATCCCTTGACTTCTGTATGTGCAGCACTCTCACCATGGATTAATTAATGAGGAAAAAACCTCATTAATAGAATCCAGAAATTTTACTACTAGTTAAAGGTTTGAATACCCTAACCCTACTAGAATACAATGCTTTTAAAATAAGATTTATTCAACATTTGGAGAAAAAAATTGTTTAATAGGGCTCATAGTTAACATTTGGCCATAAGACAAAATTATTGAGTCAAAAAAGTGTCTCTTGATGAGAAAAGAGTTCTTTTTTTGTATGAAAAACCTGAAATTAAGAAAGAGCTCCATTATTAATAGTCATTTAATAACACAAACTATTTCTTAGAGTAATAACTCAGAGGAATAGGCAATAAAGCATTCATCAGAGAAATAAAGTGAAACATTTCATATACATTTACATTTCTCTTTATCTTTAAAAGACTGGCATTAGGATATTTTTCTCCAAGTCAATATTTCTTCTTAAAGCCCACCAACCCATAGTGATCCGTCCAACTTCTGATCCTATAACATTATCTGTAGAACTCAAATAGCAATTATCTAAAATCAACTCTTAATGCAGGTTACGTTTTTTTGTATGAATTCTCTCTCTCCAAAATAGAATGTGAGGTCTTGAAGGGTAGGCACTGTGGTTTTTAATTTTTGTGATCTTTTGCTCGTGGAACACTAGAAATACATTTCTGTCTATGTCCATTTTAAGTCATTCTATCCTTTCTCTCAATCCTGTAACTCTTTTCTTATATTTTCCCTAATCTAGAGGTAGTTTCATGTTCTAAAGCTTTTTTTTTATTTCAACAAAAGTAAATTCACTGCAACATGTAGCTTTTTAGGGTTAATTTTTAAATTGCTATATTATCTGAAGACATCATCACAATCCATACAACGTCAACTGTACACCCACACTGCATAGACAAAATTACAAAATCACAAAATTACAAAATTGGATCCATCGGCCCTAAATGCAGAGCATTCTTTTTTATGTACTGTCTCAGACTAAACATTATAATGTTATACAACTTACCATTTTCAGTAAAGCTTTTTGCTTATACAAAAGCATACAAGTTATTAACAAAACAAATAATGAGACAAAAGCAAATGGTATCAAGAAAAATAACAAGGTTTCCCTCCATATGTCACCTAGGTGAAAATCACAAAAAAAGGAAAGAGTTAGATGTTTGCAATTATTTTTTGAAACTGATTTTATAAATAATCTGGTAAATAGTGAAAAACTGAGTTTAACTCAGAAACTTCTGCCATCTTTGCCAGAGCATAGATACCACAGTTATGTTTGAGTATAGCATTCTTTTCATTTGTGTACTCTTTATATAGAACAATTACCTTACTGAACTGTGACATTTCTACATTTCACTTAGAAAAATACCTCCCCAAAGCCTAATTCTTATTATCTGATATGACTTTGTTTAAAATTTGACCTTGTAAATTTTTCGTAGGAAAAAAAATGAGAAAAAAATAGCCAAATGGTTGAATAAACATATGTATCACTTAACTCTCAATAAGTCAAATGTTTATATCATATAATGCTGTAGTGAACAAGAGTTGATCTTCAATAAAAGTCCCTGTGTGAATAATGCAACTAGTCTTTAAAGATCATGTTTTTAAAGTTGTCTCATATTTTAGTAGCTAAAGAGATGTTTTTATTTTCTTTTAGAGATGAAGTTCTAATGGTTTTTCTGCATAGCAAAAAAAAAATGAGCAATTGCTAGACAAACTTGAAAAAGTAGACAAAGTCTGTCCTTCCAAACTAATATCTCTTACTTGTTTTGAAGTAGTAGTACAGAGCATCCTGAATCCTAGGCCCATACTTATACTTAAACCTACTCCCAACCTCTCCTATTTCTTTGCCTTATTCTCTTAGGATCTTGTCTTCTACTAAGTCAAATTTATATGGTCAATTCAGTTAAGATTTGCAAGGATATAATTCAGAGAAATGACTAATAATTTAAGTTTCTGGCATGCAAAATTAACAGTGGGAAAGCAGGCTTCTTTCCTAGGGTTCCAGTTGCTTTCCCTAGATAGAGAGTCAACCCTAGAGAAGATATAGTTTCATTTAAAAAAAATATTCTCCTATTGTTCTATACCTCAAAACATCCAATAAGAGATACTAAAAAACTAAGACTACGGGCATCTCAAGAAATTCTTTTTTCCTAATCTCAAAGTTATTAAGATTTTACCAAAGATATCCATCAGGGAAAAAGAAATCTCAGCCATCAATATCATGTTTAGCACTGTATGTAAAATACATAAAAGGATGTATTTATGTATTTAAAGTGGATATCCACTTTAAACTATGCACTGACCAATGACAAGATGTAATTTAGGACATGACTTTTTCAATGTTAGTTCCATAGAGTAACCAGATCTCTTACAACAGTGACAAAATGAAAAATGTAGAATCAATAAGTGTTTGTTCTGATGCAATATATCTCTTAGTTTATTAAGTTCTCCCTCTATCTGCCTATTGTTTCTCCATGGCCTTTAATGATTACATGATATAGTTGGTATCTTTGTTTATTGTCTATCTCTACTCAACTTGGGAACAAAACAAATTTTGTGAAGACAGGGATTTTTTTTTCTGCTATATCTCACATGCCTAAAAAAGTCTAACACATAGTTGGTGCTTAATAAATATTTGATGAACAAAAGAAAACAATGATTCCATTATATTAGTAGGGAGATAATAGCGACACAGCAATTTTAGTATAATGGAATAACATGAAAGGAGATGAATGATTGAGAGGAATGCAACTATCTGTCTGTATCTATATATGTATATGTATGTACATATCTATATACCTGAAAGAGAAATGATAAGTTAATTTAATTTCAAATAATTATTAGTTATCTTTATTGATAAAGCTAGTTTACTGTGAAAAACAATAATTTTTTGCCTCACTCTCAAGCCTTTTTAGTTTATGTTATTTAAATATGTCTTTTACCATAAGTCTCTTTAAATTAGTGTTACAAGTGAATGGAATATGCATTTTACTGATGATTACATTAGAAAAATATTCATTAGACATAGTACTAGACACTTAAAAAACAGTGTATGCTGATCGATCCTGGATTTAAAATTTTGGTTCTTTTAAAAATTGAAAGCATAGGAAAATATTGTTAAAATGGGCTCCACCTTAAAAAGAACTAGCATGTTCTTTTTATTGAGAAAAAAACAAGAATGTTCACAATAGAACTATAACAAGACCTCAAATAGTTTAACTGCTCTTAGTTAAAACTGAATATTATATTTTCCATAAATCTATGTTAAATTGAAATGCTTGCTAATTTATCTTCTCTGATTATAGACTACAGGAAAGAGCCTTTTGATTTCCATAAATATAAAATACACTGAAAGAACATTAATTTTGCTTACAAATAGCTCTAATTATTTAGTTAATGTTCATACCTTGCCAGCATTGTTTATCACTCCATTCACTCCAAATTCCACCATCTGAGCAATAAATATTCACTCTGCTTCTCACTAAAAAGCATAATTGTTGGCTTTTATTTGATGTTCTTGTGATATATATTTCATTTTCAAATGTGGGAGTCTGAAAACCAAGGAAAAAATAAGATGCCATTATTTGATGTAATTGCTGCTAGACCAATCCTATTTCTTTTGTCACTTTCAAAGTGGGTTTTGTTACATAAAATATATGCATCAAATGATTAAAAAGATATATACTAAATTCCTAGCAATGATTATCTCTGTATAGTGGGTTACTTTTTTATTCTCATTTTATCTTCCTTTCCTTATCTATATTCTTAAATTTTTCTATAGTGATAATGGATCAGTTGTAGTAAAGGGCATGTGTGACAGGACAAAATTCCTAGGTAGTTTTGTTGTTTATGACACCCAGTATTTATATTTATCTCAAATTTCTCAGATTCCATAAACTTGAAAATGCTACATACACTGAATTAAACAAAAAGACAGAGCCATCACAAATTTTGTTTCTATGAAAACTATAAAATTCATAAACATAAAGCTTTTTTTTCCTTATTCTTGTTCTGGTTAACTGTCATAATACCTGAGTAGCAGTGATCAGGAATTGGCATGAAACTACCTTTTCAGATATGAGAATACACAAGGTTGGATGATTTCAAAGGAAAAAAAAATCACTGAAGAGATTACTTCAATTTTATATTTCAAAGAGTGGAAGAGTGTTTCTCATCCAAAATAACAACTTTACTTTTGTTGTAACTTTTCTTGGGAACCAGCATAATGTAATATAGGTGAAAGTGTACTGGGAATAAGATCTCAATTCTAATTTTAGTTATGTAGTTTGACTGTAAATCAATTCACTTCCTTGGGACTTGTAAATCAGCTCAACTCCCTGTTTTTTCATCTGTTTATGGTATGAATTAATTAGAACTAATGCCTCACTTACTTATCTCCACCACTTTCTGAGTTAGAAACTAATACATAAAATTAACATATAATAATGTGGGGAGCAGTCTTGCAACCATTACCTACTTCCCCAGTTAGCCCCTTTCCCTGCTACAAGCAATTCTTGGGTAGCCCTGCCAGACTCTAATTTTGACCTGATGGTTGTTCCTCAAGAAGTGATTTTTATGTTTGTTTGTGTTTTTTGTTTTGTTCTCTTTTTTACTTGAGCCATCTTCATAATCCATCTTATGCACACACTTGGCAACTTTAATTTATTGACACAATATTGGACACAAGTTGCTAGATTATCTCTAAGGTCCTATGTAGCTTTAAAATTGGTATGATTATACTCTCAGACTGTAAAAATCTTTCTTTCGTCCATTAGATTATTTAATTTGCTGGAAATTAAACTAGGATAACTGTCATGTTCTAGTCCTCATGTGGATAGCAACTGATTGATTCTCATGTTTGCTATTTTATTTAAAAGCTATGTTTATGATTATCCCAAATAAATGTAATGTTCATACCACCAAAGTAGTATCATCTTCTGTGAACTCAATTTCATAAATGAAACACTTTGCTGGAGTAGGTCCTATAGGAATGCTCCATTTCAGGTTAATTTCTTCTGAATTCTTCACAATAATACTAAGATAGTCTGGTGGTGAAGGTTTAACTGAAAAGAAAAAGGAAACCTTTTAACATGGAGGTAACTGAAGTTTAGCAGTAACCATAACCAGTAGTTAGGGAAACTTAGTAACCTAAGCCTCCAGCATTAGTCAGGTGGCTTGAGACTATTCTCTATGACGTGAATTAAAATCAAAGTTGCTTACTAACCAAGTTTAGTTAATTAAGAAATTGAGTTTTTTGTGGAAATTATTTTTTATAAGTCATCTACTGACACATATTTAAGCCCAAGATAAAAGTTAGATGATCTAAATCATCATAGCCATTTTTTTTTCATTTTGTAGTGAAGAGAAGCAGAATAAGCTGCCCCAAAATATGCCACTTTGGCACGTGGATTATTTTGAGCTGAAGACCATCAAGACTCAAAAGACTCAGGAAAAGTTTTCTTTCTTTTTATTTCTTTTTCTTTATTTTTTTTTACCTCTGCCTTAATTCACTAAAATAATTTAAAAAGAGGACCTGGTCCAGGAAGAAAGCTATCATCAGTGATAACTACAAAAGAGTATGGGCTAGGTGGGGTAGGCTGGGAGGAGCTGGCAGAGCATGTTTGTTCAAATTTTTCTCTGTGTCCTATTGTCTCTGCATGGCATGACAAACATCTTTTTACCAAACATTTGTTCTTCCCATCTTCCTGTGAACTACTTTCCTTCCCTTTGAAGTTCTAGACCCCTACCCTCTTGTTCTTAGCTCAGGATGGCACATAAGCTTCAATTGCCTGGTTGCCTTTGGACCTTTCTTGTCTATGTGAGGCTCCCATATAGACAAAATAAAATTTGATTTTCTCTTATTAATCTCACTTATGTCAATTTAGTTATTATACCAGACAAAAGAACCTAAAAAGGTAGAAGAAAAGTTTTTAGCCCCTACAGTAGCATTAGGAACAATTACCACAACCATAACTACTACTATTTTTATTAATAGCTAACACTTTTTTTGAACTTATGATATGTCAGACACTGATCCAGGGACTTTACATAAAAAAATTCATTCATATCTCATAATAAATTTATGAAGTGGTCCTTTATTAACTTCATTTTACTCATGAGGAAATTGAAACAAATGTTAAAAGTAACTTGCCCAAAGTCATATAACTAGAAAGTGGTAAATCCAAGATTCAGGCCCAGATATGGCTGACTCTAGAATCTGTCATTGTCATAATTGTTACAGCTGAGAACTCAGACTTAGAAAATATCCAAGCATTTGCTTATTGAAGACTGGAAGTAAGTGATTCCATAATTACTCTATCACTAACACTAGACAATAATACTATATAACAGACCAACTTTTGAAGCTGAGAAATAGAGTTTGAGTTCTAAATGAAAGTGACATTTTACCCTTCATTCAATTCCTTATCTTCCAAACTTTTATATTTAATAAGAGCTTCCTCATATGCTTTGTTGGCCCTCATTTTTCTGGCTTTGCATTTCAGTAGGTATCTCTTTCTCTATATCCCTATATCTTTATCTCTATGTCTATCTCTATGTCTATCTCTTCTCTTCCATGTGTTTGTAAATGGCTTAAACTAGGAACATCTTGAAGCTGCTTGTTTACCTCACCTATATCTTGAAGCTGAAAAATGAAATAGCTGGGTCTGATAAGCTGGGATTTTGATGATCCATTAACACAGATGTAGAAATCTTTATAGTCTGGTGACTCCAAATAGGGAAACCTGCATCCAATATTTTTTCCATTACTCTTGATGTAATCAACACATTGTAATGCATGGTCCAAGCCTTCATACCTATAAAAAAAGTTTTGTAAGAATTGTTTTAATGATACATTCTTGTATCACGAAGTCCGATTTCCAATTATCTTAAGATATCAAGTGAATTAAAAATTATTTAATAACACGCCACATTTATTAAGTACTAACTATGTCCCAGATCTTATAACAATTGCTAGGGATACCACAGTAAGGAAGATTAAAAGATAATGCAAGGTTAGGCAGACTCACCAACAGGACTCGTGAATCAAATAACAAGATTCCTATTAAGGAAACCAGGGACTTATATAGATAATCTTGGATGATATTGTCTTTCTTTCCTATTTTTTTTTATTATTAAAGTATAGCTGGCTCACAATATTATATTACTTTCAGGTGTACAAATTTTTATACCTTACAAAGTGATCATCATGATATATCTACTAACCAGATGTCACCATAAAAAGTTATTACAATATTATTGACTACATTCCCTATGCTGTACACTACATTGCTTATTTATTTTATAATTGGAAGTTTGTACCTTTTATTCCCCTTCACCCATTTCTCCAGCCCCCTCTCCTCTGGCAACCCTCATGCACTCTCGGTGAGATTATAAATTGGTGCATTCACAATGAAAAACGGTATGGATGTTCCTCAAAAAATTAAAAATAGAACTACCATATGATCCAGCAATTCCACTACTGGATATTTATATAAAGAAAATGAAAACATTAATTAAAAAAGACATACATACTTCTATGTTCATTACAGCATTATTTACAATAGCTAAGATATGGAAGCAACCTATGTGTCCATCAATAGATGACTGAATAAAGAAGATGTGAGATACATATATTATATATATGGAATATTACAATGAAATATTATTTAGCAATAAAAAAAAGAATGAAATCTTGTCATTTGCAAAAACACTTATGCTAAGTGATACTACCTTTTTTATATTATACTAGAAAACTTATATTTGAAGAAAGCAGATTTAAAAGCAGATTTACAAAATATTATTATATTTAATAAAACAAATGAAACTTCTTGACTGATACAGTACACATCAAGAGATCAACTTCAGAAAAGTCAACGGGGGTCAAAAAGAAAAAAAAAGGAACTATTTGGCAAGTAAATATCTAATTTCCCTTTCTCTTAGACAAGAAATGTTACCATATCATTGAAAGTTTTATTCCCATAAAACTAATGAGAATTAAGGGGGACTTCCCTACTGATTTCCAAAGCAACAAATACCTCATTTATTTTCCTAAAGAAAAGCTTGCAATGCAAAATGTGGCATTATCTGTAAAAGCAGCCAAAATCCCTTTTGAAATGTGGCCAATCTAGCAGCTGGTAAGATACTGGTAAAAATATCTGGATTCTACAGAATTCACTTCTTGCCAAGTATTTTTTACTTTAGGCAGAATTTGCAAAATTGTAGTATCTTGGTTAATTCACCTGATTAGAGTTTGAGAGACTTGAGTTCTAGGTTTGACTTTACACAAATTTACTTTGTGCCAGTGAGAAGCCCTTATATTCCATTTTTATGGTGTTAATATTTTCCCCTTACTACTTTACTAAAGTGAGAATAAAGTTATGTTAAACATGAAATGCAATGTACAAGAGGGAAGGAATTTTGTCTTATTCACACTTTTGTCCATTTTATCTAGAACAGTGTCAGGTATTTAATAATTGCTAAATATTTGTTGAATTAATGAGCAAAAAGTTAGACCTTAGAGATTGACACATCCAATTTCAGGTGAGGAAACTGAGACCCCAAAAACAGAAATCGCTTGTCCAAGACCACCAAGTGAAATGATGCCAGAGCGGGATTAGAAGCCAGTTAATAGGTTACATCTTATCACTTATTAGTATAATTTCCTAAAGAAATATGCCATGACAATTTGGGCTTGAAATTTACAAAGAGTAACACTTTTTCCTCTCTTGTTTTTTCTGTTATTTAATAAATGCAAAAGTTCTGATACTTACCTATCAATTTACCAATATCATCATCGTTGGTCTCATTCATTTAATGAATATTTAGTGATAATCTACTATGGGCATAGCACAGCAGAGATAGTCAAGAGGAATATAAAAAAATAATTCATGGCCACCAATCTCTTAAAAATTTAGAAGAGGAGACAAAGTATATATATTTGAGACAAAGTATATATATACATATTATATATATTATATATATT